GGGACTAGCGTTTGCCAGGCACTTTGTGTAAATCCATGATTTTCCTCAATCCTCACAACACCCACCATTATTCCAGATTTACCCATAAGCTACGTGATGCTCAAAGATACTACTGACTTGCCTGAGGACAGTAAGTGGCTGCCCCATAGTTTGAACCCAGGTCTTTGTGACTTCAGGACGGTGTGTTTTCTACCTGACCAAGAGAGGTGACAAGAACAGGGCTTCTGGGGGGGGGGGTTGTGCCGCTTCTCCAGGAGGAGGTCAGACTCATCCCATGGTTCCTCAGTTCCTTGAGGCCTCTGCCCACTTAGCCCCTGCACCTTGCTGCCCTTCCCTGGAATTCCATGGCTTGCTGATGCCTCCATATTTTCCTCATCTGTCAGGGGCCCCGTTGCAGGGCTGGAGGAGTGTGTGGGGGCAGAAGAGCAATGGGAGGGCAGAGGCCAGGAGAGATGCTGCGCTGCACTAGTTGGAGGAAGGAGAGCCCCCAGACTCGGTGGGCGCACTCTGGGGCCCGCACGGAGGAAGGGCTCTGCAGAAGGCTTCGGGACAGAATGAGGCTGGTGCAGGTCCTGGATGCCACTTCTCTCCTGCACAGCCTCGGTCCAGAGTTTGATTAGCTGGGCCTGGCTCTCCTGGTTACCCAACAGGCTGGCTGGCCAGGGGCCAAGATGCAGTGGGGCGGCTCCCTGGCACCTCCTCCTGCTCGCTCCCGGCTGGTAAACAGCAGAGCAGGAGGCAGCCACACCACAGCACGTGGCACCTGGCGTGGAGAGGGCAGGCAGCTGTCCTCCCTTCCCTCTCCTGCCCTCCCATCTCGCCATCCTCCACTTCCGCCCCACCCTGGAGCTTCACACTCTGCTACCATCAGCACCTCCATTCCTGGGTAACTCCCGGTGTCTCCCAATGGCTGCAGCTCGAGGGACAAAGGTTAGACGCATAGAGAAGGACTTCCCAACTCCTAGGATGGCGGGCAAGGGGATAGGGAGTGAGGAAGAGTGGAGTGGCCACTTTTGGGGACCTCCTTGTGCCAAGAGTCTGACTGTTGTTTCTGTGCCTTTGATTATCCCCATATCATTTGGTAAACGCATGGCCCATGCATCTGTGTGGCCCACATAGATCTATCTGTCTATCTATCTATGGCCCACACTTCTCTGCGCAGAACAGGATGCCAGTCTGTTTTGGGGCTCTCCCCCTCGGGCAGGCTTGGATTAAGAGGCAATGCTCTCCAAAGCACCACTCCACCTAGTGCCCTCTGGCAGACGAGTAGAGTCAGCCAGAGGCAAAGGGACAGGGGTGCAGGGGAGGATTGGGGTCCTGTTGTATGGCTGTCCCCTTCCCAGCCCGATGATTGGCTTTGCTTCCACTCAGGATCCTCTCTCTGTGTCTCTCCCTGCCCGCCCCTCCCTGTCTATGGTTCTGTTTTGTGTGCCTCTCCGTCTTTTCTCCTCTTCCAGCCTCTCTTCCTCTGTGACTCTGGGTCTCCCAGGGCCCTTTCTTAGCTCCCGGTTGGTGGCACCATCCCAGGTGGTCCGGCCACCCCCAATACCATGAGTATGGCTGCCCCTCCCAGCCACTCGTGCCACTGTGCAGGGTGGGGACGAAGTGACTGGGGGTTTGGAAGACAGGGTCCTGGCCTCTAGGCCTAAGCAAGTCACATGCCTCCTGGACATTCTCGGGTCTCCACCCCTTCCCTGTCCTACGCATGGATGCCTGGGGTTCTTTCTCCCTAGAGCAAGAAGGTACTGTGATCATCCTTTGGGGAGTCCCCCCTCATGCCTAATCTTCCTCCTTCCTGCTCCAATCACAGCCCCTTTTCTGGAGGAATCAGTCCTTTCAAAGCGGGGCAGTGGTTTTTTTCCTCCTCAAATTCATTCTTAAAATTCTTATGCAAGGAAGAGGCTGATAGGGATCAGAGAATCATTTCACCCCCCACGTGCCCAAGTTCCCTTATCAGACTGGGGAATCTCAACGCAGGGGGCAAGCAGCCTGGAGGGGGTAGAGGGTGGTGGTGGCGGCTTGGAACTGGGGAGCAGTCACCGACTTGTTTTCCCTCCTCCCCACCCTCTAAACCACAGAAACCACTTAAAGCTCAGTGCAAGCCTGCCCTTCCAGGGAGGGCCTGGGGGTGTGAAGGTGGAAAGTATGTGGGGCCTGGACAGCCTGCAGGCCCCATACTGCCCCAGCCCCATCCTTCAAGGGCCACCCGCTCTGGGAAGCCTGATTCAATGATGAGGACAACTTTTCTTGGGTCCTGGAGAGACCTCAACCCACGGCAGTGACCCAGGGAGGGGGCTGTACCTCCTCCCTCAACCATTAAAAAAAGCACAACCTAGGCTCTATCAACATCTGTAGAGCTCACGGCCTCCACCCCTCCCCCTTCCTGTCACAAAGGCCACCGTGGGTGGAGGGAACGGTAGGAGTTTGACCCCAGCTCCTGGCCCTGAACTTTCCATGGTGGCCCTGCCTGTACCACTCATCATCTGTCAGGTAACAGCTGTGGTCACTTAGCCCAGGACGAAGCAGGGAGTGCTGAAAGGTGGGAGCTGGGATTTTTGGAGCCAAAAGACTTGGATAAGAACATGGCCTGCTATTTATTAGTCTTCAGTGAGCACACCAGTAAAAAGGGGACGATAGTAACTGTCCTGTGAACGGGCTCTTTGGCCCCCCTGCAGTGTGCACACAGGAGGGGTTCTTAGCACCTTATTTGTCCCGGGGCACGTTTCTGTGGCTTTAGCTAGCCAGGAAGTTCCCCGGGGACACTGGTCTCCACTACAGGGGGCAGCTCACAGCTGTGACCTGAGTGAGTTGCTCTTTGAATCCCCACCTCACAGCCTCCTCTGAGCAGCAGGCTAGGTTTGGGGGATCTGGGGGAGCCAGAGTCCTAAACCTTCCCTGCAGCCAGGCCATTCCCAGGCCAGTTTACTTAACCTCTCTGATCTACCTCTCAGTAAAATGGGAATGACAATACCTACCATACTGAGCGGTTGTGATGATTACTAGGATAACACAGATAAGCTGCAGCACCTGGTCCAAAGTATGGTGGTTAAAAAAAGTAGTTTGGGCCCATCCCTCCCTCTTTCCATTCCTATAGTCTTCCCTTCTCTTTATCTGACTCCCCTTTCCTAGGAAGCCGCTTTCTTTTTCTCCATAACGTATTACCAAGTAACTTTTTTTTTTTACATTTTACTTATTCATTTTGTAACTTGTCTGATCCCTATGTCTGTTTTGGTCACTGGCACCTCCATGGGGCCTCCCTACCTTGTGTTGCAGGAATGCATGAATGAAAGTTAAATGACCTCTACATTTCTTTCCAGGGACTTTCAAACGGACATCAAATCCAGTTACTCACCAAAAGTTGTGATGGGGGAATTTGGGGCTGAAGTAGAAGGACAGTATTAAGGAAAGAGCTAGACCCATGGGTGATTTCACAGACTGAAAAAATGGGAGTGCTGTCATTCTAGGGAAGGAGGAGACCCCTTTCAGAGTGACCTGGGTGGGAGGTGGCAGCTGACTTTTAGAGATAGTATAGTGAGGGGGTTAAGAGCCCAGACTCTGGAGCCAGACCCTCTGGGTTCAAATCCTAGCTTTACGCCTATATCCTAGCTTTACTCCTCACTGTAGGAGTAAAGCCCAAGGTCACATTGGCTAACAATAGTACTTAATCCTCCTGGGAGTTGCTAGGAGGAATAAATGAGTTGACAAGTTGTAGAACAGTCCCTTGCTGTGTGATAGTAGCCCTTATTATTGTTTGGTCAATGCTACCACCTGGTGGACAGCTGGAGCAAGGTTTCCCTGGCCTTGGGCTGGGGCTGCTGGTGGGGGCACCTAATCAGGGGAGGGAGAAGGCATCCCAGCGATCTGACAGAAGTACGAGTGTGTTGTGTTAACATTACACATGCTGAGGTTTATCGGGATCCAGCAGGCTCGTCCCTGGTTCAAGGCACCATGGAAACTGAGAAAGGGCCCAAGGGGTAGGGGGAAAGAAGCTGGGTTGGCCGAGTGCCTTCCTCCTCCTCTCCCTCCCTCCCTCCCTCCTTCCTCTAAGCCTGGCCTGAGCCAACAGGAACCCACTCCAGGGAAGGTGGAGAGACAGAGAGAGAAGAAGAAGAAGAAGAAGGAGAAGAAGGAGAAGAAGAAAGAAGAAGGAGAAGGAGAAGAAGAAGAAGGTTACTGCTGACGTCAGGGACATTCAGGTAGGAAGTAAACACAATCTGACCTACATATATCCATCTCCTTCCCCACCCTCCCCCTACTCACTGGGGTAGCTTTTTCTGGGCATCTTTGAAAAGAGCTCTCACACTCAGGTAGGACGCCCTCCCCATCTTAATCGCTGGGACATTTTATCTCCACCATTCAGTCCTCAAGCGCTGCTCCGACACTTGGCTGCGCCTTCGCCCCCTGGGGTGGCACAGGCATAGGCAAGGGAGAGGACACCTAACTCAGCACTGTATGCTGACATCTCCTGACTCACTCTCAAGACACAGAAATTTCATCTTTCCTCAGGACAGATGTGGGTACAAGTGGGGAGGAGGTAGATGCGTGGGGGACTTCTGATTTCCCCTGTGCAGCCCCAAGGAACCCCCTGGGGGGAAAGTGGCTGATGTTGGTTTCCGTCACAGAGCTTTTTCTGCAGTGATGGGAGGGCCCCCTAAAGGGGTGGAGGCCTTTTTGGACAGGGCCCTAGGACCTACCCAGCCCAGACCTATTAACCTAGCTTCAGCATCTCTTGGGGATGGAGCCCAGGACTGCGGATGTCTGATTACTCTAATGCTCACTCAAGTTTGAAAACCACCACTTGAGGTCGGCTCCAACTCAGCATGAACGAGCTTCTTCCATATAGCCAAGGCAGAGGGAAGAGAGCAGGCTGCAGATCTGAGTGTAGGGTGCCGACAAGGGGAGAGATCCTGCTAAAAACACACATTTTATTAGCAAAAATAAATACAGGCTGGGCAGGTGACAGAATGAAGACCTCTTTGAGGAAGAGACAGTCTCCCAGTCTATAGGCTGAGATGGGCAGGCGCCAGGGAGGTCCCCGGACCTAGCCCCCCACCCAAGGGGGGCAGCAGGTCAATGAGGGGCATCTCACACTCCCCCAGCAGCCCGTCTCTGCGGAAGCCCGCGCCCCTGTCCAGCACCTTGGCCCTCAGACTGCGGGCGGCCAGATCCAGCGGGCCCAGCCCGTCGAAGAAGAAGTCCTCGTTGAAGATGGGATTGGCGCTGCATTTGACCACGCGGCTCCGTTGGCCCCGTGACCGGACGCGCGGCCGCAGCCTCAGCACCACGCAGCAGCCGCCGCCGCCGCTCCCGGGGCCGGAGGGCGACCGCGGCAGGCCCTCGGCGCTCACCAGGCGCAGGCGCAGCCGCCCGGGCCCGGCCTGGTAGTCGGCGGAGAGCCGCAGCTGGCCGCCGCGGGGCGCGAGGCGCAGCACGCTCTCCTTGGTCGGTCGCAGCTGGCAACACAGGAAGTCCAGGTGGAAGAGCGGCGGCCCGGGCGGCCCCGCGCGGCGCGGCGCGTGCGGGCTGGTGTCGGCCGAGCTCGCCTCCTCGGGGGACAGCGAGTGCGGCCGGGGCCGGCCGGGGCCAGGCCGCGGCGAACCGAAGGGCGACGACTCGGGCGACGAGGCCGTGTCGCTGTCAGCGGCCCGGCAGAGGCGCAGGTCCGGGGCGGACACGTGCAGCCGGGCGTGCGCTGGGGAAAGCCCCCGGGCAGGGGCGAGGGCGGGGGGCGGCGGCGGCGGGTGGAACAGGGACTCGCGCCGGCGCGTGTGCGGGCTCTCGGGCAGGAAGGCCCAGCCTTCGCGGCCTGCCAGGTGCGGCAGCGAACAGGCCGCGGGGAGGCTGCGCCCGGCAGGGGGCTCGGCTCCCCCGACGTCCGGGAGCCGAGGCGGGATGCAGAACTGCGGGATGCGATCGGGAGTGAGGACGTTGGGGCAGGCGCGCGCGGGCGGGCCCGGGGCTCGGCGCTTAGGGAACAGGCTGGACGGCGCCCATCGGGGCCTGGACTCTGGGGGCCCCAGCCGATAGCCGGCTTTCTCCAAGAGCCACATGCAGTGGGGTCCGAATTCCGCGAGACCGAGTAGGTGCAAATTCAGCGTTCCCGGTGGAGGCCTGTGGAGGACAGAAGAGGGCCGGAGGTGGGTGATACTGAGAACATACACCGGTTGGTCGACTATGGCGCGCTCCACAGCCCCCCCCCCCGCCCCCGGCACACGGTCCCCTATCTGAGCAGGAAAAACAAGGGGGGGCGGTGAAGCCTGGGGGCCTGGGGAGAAATGGAGGGCACTGGACAGTCACATTTTCAGACGCAGGCCTTTAGACACCCGAGATCTCAGACTCTGCCATTAGTGCTAAAGATGCTCACTCACTAAAGAGTTAGAAGGCCCAACACACCCACTAGAACTCTAGGCTACTATTCGGAGAATGGAGGAACATTTTCAAATTATCAAAAGGTCTGTAGTCACAAACTCGGACGGATCCGGAACCCTGCTGGTACATCCTGCTCCCCTGAAGAGACACAGAGGCCCTTGGCAGGCTAATCCCCTTCTCCCTCGCCCATCCCGAACTCTCAGACTCCCCTCCAAGGTCTTGTGTGGCGCCCCTCGGGCTGCCTTCGCTGGGAGCTGGGAGCAAGGCTCTCCAGCCTGAGCCGTCCTTATGCCCCAGCCCGCCTGCTTCCTCTTGCTCCTCACTCCTTTCTGAGTGGCTCCCGGCCAGAAGCCCACTCGCTGCACAGTTGACTGCCGTCCTGGGAGCATCCAGGGCCATCCCAGGAGATGCACCCCCGGGGGCGGGGGATCACAGAATACCCTCCTCCCCCAGCCCCTGTTGTCCTGCTCCAGCCTCCCAGCCCCAAGGCATCCCGAGTCTGCAGGGCGGGAGCGGCCGTTGGGCCGCCACTCCCACTCCACTCCTTCCCTCCCTAGGAAACCACTGAGCACAAAGGCGCTATTGATTCTCTGCCACCCCCAGAGCCGGCTCCCCGAGGCTCCGCCGCCGCTCGCTCACCGCGCCCCCGCGCCCCACCCGCGGGACCGCGACGTTCCGAGCGTCCGCGGGCCTGGGAGTCCGAGCCCACGGCGGGCTCGGTCAGACGGCCGGAGCCCAGGCCTCACCTCTGGGCTGCCGCTGGTTCCTGGCCTCTGGCTGGCTGGTGTGCAGAGCCCGGAGGGGAGCAGCTTCCCCTACAGCTTGCTCCCCCAGCCCAGTCGTTCAGGGAGGAGTTGGCAGGGGCTTCCGTTGCCTACGTCCGACCTCTTTTCCTGGATAAACAGAGCTCTGTCTCCACGGTCATCAGCCCGGCCTTCTTAACTCCTTCCTCCAGGTTTCTAGCAGCAAGCCAGTCCTGGGTCCCCGCCTCCTCTGCTGGCCACCTAGGAGGGCTGCGGTGAAGAAGAAGGTCATCAGTGGGCAGTGGCCTCATCCCTCTGTGCTGCACGGGCTGCACCCTAGCCTTACTAGGAGTAACCCATAGCCGTGGTCACACACACTGCATATTGTGCAAAGCCCTCCTTGCTGGAATCCTGCTTTGGCCCCCATTGTCCTAGTCTGGAGTGATCGCAGTAGCTCTCAGACAGTGACTTGCACTGACTAGTTCTCTGAACTACATGGCCCAAGGAAGAGTGACCAGGATCCAAATTTCTGGACATGGAGACACAGGACAGAGCTGGTTCTATCAGTGGGTCGAGCTCTGGCTGGCCTGTGCGCCTTGTCGTTGGCAGAAGACTGTTAAACTGCAAACGTGGAGGGTGCCTCTCCTCCCTTCCCCTCCCCTGCAAGGGGATCCTAGGAAGCACAGGCCGCGACTGGCAAGATCAGCCCCTCAGCGGCACCTGCCATCCCTCAGTCTCTCAAAGGCATCAGGCTCATTCCCTCCTTAGGATCTTTGCATAGGCTGTTTCCCCTCCTAGGATGACTCCCTGCTTTCATCCTTCAGAGCTGGAGGCCCTTACTGACAACCTCCCATCTAAATAGGGGCTTCTGTTGTATGCTTTCCCAGCATCCCATACTTTTCCTTTCTGGCATTGGTCACAGGTTTGTTTTTTTCTTCTGTGATTTTTGTATGTGATTATTTAGTGTCTTATTAGACTGTAAATGTCATGAAGACAGTGCTTAGCACAAGGCAGGTGCTCAGTCAGGATTTGTTGAATGAATTAATGACACTAAGCAGAATTATACCTGAATCAGTTTATTCATTCACTGTGCTAGGTGCTGGGGATATATAGAGTGGGGAGCAGCCTAAGGGGAGAGACAGACAATAAACATGCAAGCAACAACAGGATGCAGGAAACAAGATGATTATTTTGACATCTGATACTTGAGAGTTTTAAAAGAGCATGTGTGTTTTTTTTTTTTAAAGATTTTTATCTTTATTTTTCGATAGAGACAGCAAGAGAGGGAACACAAGCAGGGTGAATGGGAGAGGGAGAAGCAGGCTTCCCGCCAAGCAGGGAGCCCAATGCGGGGCTCGATCCCAGGACCCTGGGATCATGACCTGAGCCGAAGGCAGGCACTTAACAACTGAGCCACCCAGGCACCCCTCTGGCACATAACTTAATCTCTCTGGGGTTCACCTTTCCCATCTGGAAGAGGGAGAGAACATACCTAACTCTCAGAGTTGGTATGAGGATTAAGTGAGATAACACATGGGCATCAGTTCAGCTCACTTCCACTAAAAAAAGCACGAGAAAACAGAAACCCCAACTCAATCTGGCTTGATGACGACATTTTTGGCTTCTATAATAAGAAGTCCAGAGGTAGGGTAGAATTCAGGGAAGTTTGATTCTGTGGCTTTGTTCATTCAGTCACAGACTACCTACTATGTGCCAAGCACTGTGCTGGACTGGAGGATATAGCAGTGAGAAAGCAGATACGTCTCCTAGCCAGGTGAAGTTGATACTTTAGTGGAGAAAGAAAGAGACAAAAAAATTAGTAAAGAAAGTACAGTTTATGAGAAGGAAATCAGTGTTGGGAAGAAAATAAAGTAGGGAAGGATCATACAAGAGCTCTCAGTTTTAAATGGGGTGGTCACGGATGGCCACCTTGAGAAGGGAACATTTCAGTAATGACATGGAGAGAGGAAGGTTGTCTGAGGGAAAAGCATTCTAGGCAGAAGGAATCATCGATGAGCGGCGCTCAGGCAGAAGCATGCCTGGAGTGTTCAAGGAGGCAAACTGGTCAGCATAGTTGGAATAGAATGAGTGAAGGGGAGATGGAGTCAGAGGGATAACAAGGCCAGATGCTGTTGGGACTCGTAGTCGCCGTGACAATTTTAGCTTTTATTTGAGCCGAGGAGTGATATGACTTGTCAGGTATTAAAAGGGTTGCTCTGGTGAGGACAAAGGGATAAGGGCATAATTAGAGAAATCAGATAGGAGACTATTGAAATAATCTTTGCACAAGATGATTGGGGCATAGATCAGGATTGTAGTAGTCAGTTTCTAGATCTGTTCTGAAGATCAAGTCAATAAATGGATCCATCCCCGTCTAAAGAGAAAGTGATCCAAGGTTTTTGGCCCGAGCAACTGGAAGAATGGAGTTACCATTTGCTGAGAAGAGGAAAGATTAGGAGTTCAGTTTTGGGTCTATGAAGTTTGAGAAGCCTGCCAGACATCTGAATGGAGACATTGAGTAAGCGGTTGCATATATGAACCTGGAGCTCAGAGGAAAGGTCCAGACTGGAAATGTAAGTGCGGGCACCAAGAGTAATGAAGATGGAATTTAAAGTCAAGAGACTTGATGAAGTGTAGGTAGAAAAGAGGATCCTGGGCTCAAGATTCAAGACAGTCCTGGGCACGCCAACATTTTTTTGGAAGATGTTATTTGTTTATGAGAGAGAGAGAAAGAGATTGAGAGAACGAATGGGAGGAGGGGCAGAGGGAGAAGCAGACTCCCCGCTGAACAAGGAGCCCGATGCGGGACTCGATCTGGCATCTGGGGTCATGACTGAGCCACCCAGGCACTGGGCACGCCATCATTTAGAGGGGAGAGGAGGAGAACCAACTGTGTCAGATGCTGTGGCAAGATCCGGTAAGGTGAGGACTGAGAATCGATCATTGGATTTAGCAACGCAAAGTCATTGGTGACTTTGCCAAGAGCAGTTTTGGTGCAGTGGTGGAAGCAAAAGCCTGGTTGGAGTGGGCTGCAGAAAGGTTAGGGGAAAGAGAGCAAAAAACCCAGCAAACCTCTCTTGAAGAATTTGCTGAAAGAGCAGGGGCAAGTGGGGTAGTGGCCAAGGCAGGAAGTGGAATCAAGAGAGAAATTTTTAAAAAATTTATTCATTTGAGAGAGAGAGAGTGAGAGAGAGAGAGCATGAGCAGGGGGAGCGGCAGGGAGAGGGAGAAACAGACTCGCCGCTGAGCAGGGAGCCTGACTCAGGGCTCAATCCCAGGACCCTGGGACCATGACCTGAGCCAAAAGTGGATGCTTAACCAATTGAGCCACCCAGGTGCCTCCAGAGAGAAACTTTTAAATCACAGTAATAATGGTATGTTTGTATGCTAATGGGAAATATTCCGTAGAAAGGGGAGAATTGGTAATGTAGAAGAGACAAAGGAGAATTAATGCAGCAATATTCCTGAGTAGACACAAAGAATAGGTATTACGCATGAGAAATCAATCTGGGGGTTGTCCTTTGCCTGCTGTGTGGACAGCTCACCCAGTTACTGGAGAGAAGGTAGAATAACTGAGTAGAGGTAGAAGGTGGAGTGGGTGGTGGGAACTTCTTCCCTTTGAATGCTTTTAATTGCCCATGAAGCAGGATGCAAGGTTACCAGCTGAGAGTGATGATGGTTGGCGGAGGAGGTGACTCTAGGGCTTGAGTAGAAAGGACCAGGAAAGCAACAGTCACCCAGGAGGACAGGGGAAAGGCAGGGTGGCTGCTGGGCAGTATTGCAGGCTCACCTAAAGGATAGCAGCCACAACTTTATGCTGAGACCAAACAGCATGGTTGTGAATTTTTCTCCAACTGTGTTCATTTGTACAGATGCAGAGGGAAAATGGGCAGAGATTTGGTTTAGGATTGTGCTCAGTCGTTGACAGTTCACTTTGG